CTGTCAAATAAATAAGTAAATAAATTAATATCTTTCTTTTTAAGATTTTATTTATTTATTTATTTGACAGAGAGATCACAAGTAGGCAGAGAGGCAGGCTGAGAGAGAGGAGGAAGCAGGCTCCCTGCTAAGCAGAGAGCCCGATGTGGAGCTCGATCCCAGGACCCTGAGATCTGACCTGAGCCGAAGGCAGAGGCTTAACCCACTGAGCCACCCAGGTGCCCCAATAAAAATCTTCTAAAATAATTAAAAAGACACTGTTTCTTCCTCTATAAAGTGGTGGTAATAATAACAGACTTCACAAAGTCAGGGAGATCATGATGTGTGGTGGATTTAGCAGGGCTCTGGGCCCGGACATCCAAAAGGCTCAGTACATGACACCTTTTTTATGTTCCCTTGTCTTTACTAATGTCCCAAGCTTCGGACCTGGGTTAACTTACCTGGGTGAGATTGTCTTCAAGTCTTCCCTGTAAACTGACTTCTTGGTGTCAAGTTCCACACCCTTCTTCTTAGTCACAGTCCCCTAACCATCTTAACAGGACCCTCCAACCTAGTCCCCCTCTCCTACTGCCGTCAGGGTTTGTGTCAACCTCTTTGGCTCAGTGGGCTTTCCTAGGCAAAGGGCTCCAAATTGGCTGACGGGCAGCAGGCAGTGGTCCATGAGCCTCTCCTGTCTGCTGAATGACAGGATGGAAGATACTCATTGCTCTGCTTGGAAGGGACGTCTCCCATCCCTCATATGACCTAACTCTGGGTGACTATTCTTAATCCTTTATGTCCTAGTTTGGGCCTAACCTCCTCCAGTAAGCCTTCCTAATGACTGCCCCCCCCATAATGTATCTTACTGCAACTATCACTCTATAATTATATTTTTATACGTCTGTCTTATGAACATCCTAAGGATGGGGGCTATTTTTTTTAAAGATTTTATTTATTTATTTGACAGAGATCACAGGTAGGCAGAGAGGCAGGCAGAGAGAGAGGAGGAAGCAGGCTCCCTGCTGAGCAGAGAGCCCGATGCGGAGCTTGATCCCAGGACCCTGGGATCATGACCTGAGCCGAAGGCAGAGGCTTTAACTCACTGAGCCACCCAGGCGCCCCAGGATGGGGGCTATTTTTATTCTGTCTCCTCAGTGCCTAACACATAGTAGGTATTCAATAGCCTGTAAATAACCACATCTGTGTACAAAGTATTAATGCTTACATGTTAGTATCTAAGAAAACTCTATAAGAAAAGGCTCTTGAACGGGGCCTTAAGGAATAAGCAGGCACCTGCTCAGTTGAAATGGAGGGAAGGGCATGCCGGGTGAAGTGAACAGCATGTGTAAAGGCCCCGTAGAGGAAAAACATATTTTCAGGAGCTAAGAAGTCCAGTGTGGCTATAGGTGGTGGGATGGAGTGGTTAGTGAGGCTGGAGAGGTAAGGGAAGCCACTAGTCATGTTGTAAATGTAATTTTATGCCAATTGAAGGGTTCACAAGGGCAGAGAGGGGCCCTCCATTAAACAGGAGAGACACGATCAGAACTGAGTTTGGGAGGGTGTGAGTACTCAAGCTTCAGTAGCAAAGAGCTCACTCAGCCGCAGATTCTGGGTCCTGCCCTGAGTTTCAGAAGGTCTGGGGTAGAGCCTGAGAATGTGCTTTTCTCACAAGTACCTGGGTAATGCTGGCTTGAGGAACCCACTCTGAGAGCCACTGATATGAAGGATGGGATGAAGAGTGGGTCGCAAGCTTTCCAAACCATCCAGCTGAGAGGAAGGTGATGGAGACGGAAGAGGGGAGGGGCTCACATTCTCAACCTGCTAACTTTTCAGTGTCTTAGTGGTGAGATTTCAGGCTTGGTAATAAGCCAGTGTGGGAAAGGGAGGCTATTTCTGGGGAGAAATCAGCCAGGTGGTCAGGATAGTCCCCACCTTCCACCTGGGAGGACCAGACCCCGCTTGGTAATGATCTTCAGAAAGCACAAGAATCAAGGTGTCCAGAGTTGCCATTTAATGCCCAATTATCACAAAACAAGGAGGTTTACACAGTGCTCATCAAGGCAAGACCTGGGGTAAAACCAGACCAGAGGGAAGTGACCTGTCTAGAGTCCCTGCACAGGGACCAGGTGGCCTGGGCCTCATCACCCTCAAGACACACCTGCCATACACAAGGCTTCTTCCCTCACCCAGGAGCCCGCAGGCTGGCTGGGCTTCTGGTCACCGAGGGTCCTCGTGGAAGAACAGGGTCCCAGGGGGAGGTGGGGGCTCTGGGACACCAAGAGGAGCACCAGACAGCTGCCTGCAAACAACCCCAGAAGGCTTTCACTTCAAGCCACACGACGCTCAGACGCAGGAACACCCAGATGCTTTTCCTAGGAACTAAACACTGCAAAACTGAGGCTGAGAACACTCGGGGAGGGAAAGTCAAGTCAAAACCCTCTCAGAACCAGCTTTCTGAGCTTCACCATCCCCCTCGTCCTCCCACAACCACACCAGTCCAACCACAGCGTTGCCGCAGAGAAGGGACCTCACGCTACTCTAGCGAACACGTTTCATGGGAAGGGACACGGGGGCGGGGCCGAACCTCCACAACTTCACGCTACTGAGTTCCCTGGAGCCCCCGAGCCTCTGGTGCCCCCGTGCGACACAGGTGACTTGAGGGCTGCCTGTGGGGCTGGGAAATGTCCTGGAAGAAATAACGTACCTCATAAAGAAAAGTGGTTTTTCTTCCACCCTAGTTCTAAAGTTTACATGGCCCGTAAAGGAAATACCATCGAACAGACATTTTTAAAGCTCTCGCAACTCCTGAGAGGTCTCAAGTGTCGCTGGCAAGAAAGAGGTGTGAGCTTGTCACCCCCCCACAGCCTGAGGCTTGGCCTGGGCAGTCCAGCCCCAGGGGCCAGGCAGGGTGTGGAGGGGATAGCACAGGACAGGGACAGCTACTCAGGATAGACCATGGGCCCAAGGGGCAGCCCCTCTGTCCAGCACTATGGCCCAGCATTTAGAGAATGAGCTTAAATTCTGGCCAGACTTTACTAGTAAACCTGTTCCTGGTGAGTCCTATAGGCCTCGTCTCTCTTTTCTCTGATTTAATTCTAGGAGAAGATTCTAGACAGAGCCAAAGGCATGGAAGTCAAACGTCTCTGTCTTCAGAGATGGGACATAGCTAAACAGCAGCCCAGATACCTCAGAACAGCGAAGCCACCTAGGCCCCACAGGCCCCCAATAGGATTCCAAGCAACACTCCTGTCCCCTGCCCAAGGACTGAGGTAGTCCCTTGACCCTGGACATAGTGGGCTTCCAAGCAGGCTTCTGATGACACCTCTGTGAGTATCTGGAGAGGGGACACCAACAGCATGTCTGTAAAGCCTACAAAATAAACCCCGTTTCCAGACCGGGACATCTGTTCCTGAGAGGGCACAGTCAGGGGCCCGGGAAGTTGTGAAAATGACAAGGCACGCTGTCCCCATGCAAGCATTAACTCACACCAGACCCACCCCCAAAGAAGCCCACATCCCCAGCTTCAGATGCCAGCTTCTGGGTAACTCAGGAGCCATCCCATGAGGCCAACTTCATATTTAAAACCAACTTAATGCTACAAACTTAAAAAAAAAAAAAAAGTGCTGCCCAGCCAAGCCCCTGAGGAAACCTAGCTCCCTGAGGGTAGGTGGTGGGCCTCTAAGACCACCACCCCTGGCTGCCTCTCTCCAGAGGGCACAGCCTTGGTTCAGCCCAGGGCAGCCCCGCCCCACGTTGGGTGGGGAAGAGAGCTGACCTCATCCCTCACACCCAAGTGGGCTGCAGAGACACTGTGGGATGGTCAAGCCTCTGGGGGCAGGGGGCAGGCCAGGGCAAGAATCCTTCTCAGGACCCTAAGCCTGAAGAGGTAACATAAGCCCGTCTCCCCATCAGGGCAAAGGTCTGATCTGCAATGAAGACTCCTGCCAGCCCTTCGGCATTCCCGTGACAAAACGAGCTAAAATGCCACCAAGCCCTGGCCACCTCTGTCCTGGGGTGCAGGGGAGTCTGTGTGAGAGCTGCAGAGAAGAGGAGATCCTTAAAGAATTACTCCCATCAGTAAACAAATCCTTCCAGGGAAGGGGAGGATGATAACAGCAGCTTCCAAAGGGGCTGCTTTCTGGCAGTTTCTTGCTTTAACCCCACCTTTCTCTATACGGGGCTGCCACTCCCTCCCAGGTACTCAGGATAAGACAGCCTCTGTCCCAAGCAGAGGCACAAATGGAGGAAAGGGCCTCAGAAGCCCTCTAGCTGCTTCCACATTCCTGTCCGTGTTTCCCTGGGGAGGGGGGCCTTTCAGTGCTGACTCCCTAGAAGGTGGTTTTTCCTGTTCTAAGGGGATGGAGAGGTAGGGAATTCCACAGAAGTGGGTCTCCACACCTGGAGCCTTGATGCCGCCTCCCTGGAAGGGCTCCCTGCAACCATCCCTGGTTCAGAGGAGGCCAGGAACCCAAGGCTGGTGCCTCAGCGGGAGAGGATGGGCAGGAGGAGCCAAAGGGCCTGTGGCCACCACTTACTAGAATTACGAGGCCGAAGTGCAAGTAGCATTCTAGCAGACTGGACAGCCCCCAGAGACCCGGCCTACAGCTACAGGGAAATCAGGGACTGGCCTGGGGCCCAGGAAGCCCTGGGCTGCCCTCGGACCATGGACAGCACTGGGCCTGTCTGAGAAGTCTTACTAGAAACTAGAACAATCTCCCTGCTAAAAACTCAAGGAAGACAAACAAACAAAATTCAACCTGAAATAAATACAAAGGCATTAAGTGCTTCTTGATAAATTCAGCGTCCTAATTCACCCTCTGCAAAAGGCGAGGGGAGGGCCTTTCCCTGGACCTGGTTGCCTCACCTGTAGCCCTTCATGTGAGAGGTCAGAGGTCAGAAGCCGGATGGGTCTTCCTGGGCCCAGCTTCCATGAGGAAAGAAAGGACCCAACCCCTAATACACTCCTCACCCAAACCCCCTCTCCGAGATAGCTTCAGCTGCCTGGATGGGGGGTGGTGAGAAAGAGAAGAGGTCCCCCCCCATCCCTAGGGCAGCACCTTGTGTCCCACGTCCCTGCGCGGGCAGAGGGCCTGTCCGTCTGTGCGGAGGTAGAGCCAAGGGCAGGTTGCTGGGACAGGCAAGGCCACTCAATTAATCAGCAGGTCCCCAAGGTCGTAGGAGTCGAAGAGGTCACTGATACCCTCACCCCCGTCCAGGCCCCACAGGTAGTCATCCTGGTCCAAGGGCGGGGAGAAGCTGATCAGGGGAGAGCTGCACGGCAGGCTCGGGGACAGGAACTGGTCCTCCGTCTGCTGCAGAAGTGGGTGTGGCAGCTCCAGCAGGCTGTCGGTGGCCTCCAGGGGGACAAGCGGCAGGGGTGGGGGCGCTGGCGGCTGCGGGACTTGCTGGGGAGTCAGCGCTGGTGTTGGAGACAAGCAGACAGAGGTCACACTTAGACCTGGTGCCCAAAAGCCTCTGTCAAACCTCAGAGCCCAGGAACGGCCCTCCCCCACCCCTTCCCTGGATGACTGGGCATCCTCTTCTCTCCAAACCTGCCTCACACCCAATGGCAGGGGACACGCTCCCTCTCCCGGCACAGCTCCAGCCACTGCCCCTGTTCTCCCACCTCTCGAAAGAGGTGGGATCTCTTGGTCTCCAACTCCTACCCGCTTGGGGCACCTGCCTGGCTCCATTGGAAGAGCACACAACTCTTGATCTCAGGGTTGTGAGTGTGAGTCCCATTTTGGGTGTAAAGATTACTAAATAATAAAAATCTTTTAAAAAAGAAAAAAAGCGGGGCGCCTGGGTGGCTCAGTGGGGTTAAGCCTCTGCCTTTGGCTTGGGTCATGATCCCAGGGTCCTGGGATCGAGCCCCGCATCAGGCTCTCTGCTCAGCATGGAACCTGCTTCTCCCTCTGCCTCTGTTCCTCCCCTTCTTGTGCTCTCTCTCACTCTCTCTGTCAAGCAAATAAATAAAATCTTAAAAAAAAAAAACAAAAAAAATCCTGCCATTTCCCCAGCACCCAGTCCATTCAGTTCCAGTGCTGTGACCCTGGTCTAGCCCGTCGTCTCCCACTGAAACACTTCTTCCCAGTCACCTTGCCTTGACCCTTGTGCTCTGGCTTAAAAATGGCTTGGAAGGCAATCCGAGTTTGACCAGCACTGAGAACACCCCGAAGGATGTAGCACCTGCCGGCCTTTCTGTCCCCTCTGTCCCGCCTCCTTCCACTCCCGCACAGCCTCTCCAGCTACACTGGCTCGGCCGCTGCGAGCACACCAAAAGCATTTCTCCTTAGATGTCACAGGGCGACTTCCTACACAGGGACAAGGAATAGGGTGCTGGGAATCCCCCCAAATATATCCTAACGCCCAGAATCTCACCGTTTGAGTCATGCCTTAAACCCCAACCAAGCATTCCTTGGAAAACAGAGCCGTGCTGGCGTGTCCGCCTGCCTGATCAGCCTCTTACTCCCGTGTATCTGTGGGCAAGTGACTCAATGTGGATGAGCCTCTGCTTCCTCACCTCTAAAAGGGGGACACGCATTCCCTGCCTTGCAGGGTTACTGAGAGGACTCAGGGATAGGTGCAGGGAGAAAACCCTCATCAATAAGAAGAGCTCTGGGGACGCCTGGGGGGCTCAGTCAGTTAAGCATCTGCCTTCGGCTCAGGTCATGATCCGAGTCCCAGGATCGAGTCCCACATCAGGCTCCCTGCTCTGCAGGAAGTCTGCTTCCCCCTCTGACCTTCTCCCCTCTTATGCTCTCTCTCAAATAAATAAATGAATAAATAAATAAATAAAACTAAGAAGAGCTCTGGTTTACCAAGGGCTTACCATGGCCGGCCCTGCTCTCAAGGACAGGGGTGTTTCACCTCCTCAAAGGGCCCCACAGGAGGTAATCCTGGGATCCCTATATACAGATGAGGAAACTGAGGCTCAAAGGAGCCAATTAAATGTATGTGAATGAAAAAACCGGCATGTTTCTTTAGTGGGTTGCTGAGGCCTGCAGTTCTAGTGAAAGGCTGGGCTTGGGAGTGGGCGGGGGGGTCCAGGTTCGGACCCCAAGCCCACGCCTCGCCAGCTGTAGGACCAGAACCTCAGTTTTCCCAGGAGGGGAAAGAAGACACTACCTCCCCGACGTGCTGAACAGCAAGGAGATAACCCGCGTGTGGAAGTCCCTGTGGGCCGGACCTTGCTCTCTGGCGCTGCTTATCACCCAGGAGGGAGCTGCTCTCTCATATCTGTGCCCACTCTGATGGCTCAGACTCACGCTCTATCTCCAGACCACAGAGAGCAGGTGCCCAGTTCGCAGAAGCTTTTTAAAAAATCACATTCACGCTGTCTCACTGCCTGTAACCCACCCAGAAATCGTGAGAGAGTTTTACGTGTCCCAATTTTACAGACGTGCGAACAGAGGTTCTGAGGGGCTGAAGTGTCCCGCCTAGTCACCAAGTCACAGCAGGTGACGTGCAAACTCAAGCCCCAGGCTCCCAGCATTGACTCCTGCACGGTAGCAACATACACGTTTACCTCAGAATGTGAGAGCCTGGAAAGATGGTAGAGACAACCCATACCCAAAGCCCCTCCATGACAGATGAGAGAAACTGAGGCCCCAAAGCGGAAGTGATTCCCTCTGGTGATGCCAGAACCTGGGTCCCCAGACTGCATGTGGCCCCTGGCGCTCAGATCTCAAAATGGCTCTGCTTCAGACAAGAACGTGGAGTGTGTGTATGTGTCTGCATGTGAGAGAGAGAAAGAATGTGTGAGAGAGTGTGTGAGAGCCAGTGTGAGTGTGTGTGTGTGTGTGAGAGAGAGTATGAGAGCGTGTGTGAGAAAGTGTGTAAGAGTGTGTGTGTGTGTGTGAGAGAGAGAGAGAGAGAGAGTTTGTGTGTATGTGTGTACCCCTTCCAGGAACTGTCCTTCTGTTCCCTTTGCCAAGGATGTCACTAAGAGGCCACATGACAAGGGTGGAGAGGGGCACCCATGGCACAGAGCTGGCTCCTAGGCTGCCCCACCGCCAAGCACTCTGTCAGCCTCTACTCCTTCCAGGAGCACAACTGATCAGTAAAACTGAGGTAAAAACCTCACCCTTACTTATGCTGGAGGCCTCCCCCCACCTCCACTCTGCCCCAGGTCTCAGAGGACATCTGAAGTCAAAGTGGCTCTAACTGGGAGAGCTGTGCACATGTTGACAGTGGAGTAAGAAGGCAGAGCGAAGCAGGAGAGAAAACAGGGTGTGGCATATGTCTGGCATGGGAGATAGGCACTGGGAGGTACCAGAGGGACAGATGACTGGTGCAAGGAGAAGTGTGACAGAGAAGAGATCACCAGAGAAGAGCTGAGGGTCTGGGCTTTTGTCCAAACTCTGCCTCCAATTTGCTGTGTGACCTCAGAGAAGTCACTTACCCTCTCTGAACTTCTGCTTATTCATGTGTAAAATGAAGGGCTGAGTTAGATCAGGGCTCAGCAAACTTCTGTAAAGGGCCAGATGGTATTTTAGGATTTGCAGGATACTTACAGTCTCTGTTACACAGTCACTTTCTTCTTGCCCCCAACTCTTTAAATACATGAAAACCATTCTTAGTTCATAGGCCACTTAAAAACAGGCCAGATTTGGCCTGCAGGCAATAGTTTGTGGACCCTTGAGTTAAAGAAATGGAATCCAGCCCGTGTTCTGTGGACGCCCCACCAAGCCTCTTCCGTCACACCAGTTCGAGCTCTGGTTTTTTTAAACACCAGAGTTCTACTTAAGAGAATTCTGGAGCTAAAAAAACAGAAAGTTGAACACTGGCCTCCATAGCCTCAAAGGATGTGTCAGGCTGACCTGCTGTGTGATCCCAGTAAAAGGAAAAACCATCCTGGGGGAAGGGCCTTCCCAGGCTCCCATTTCCACTCCTTCTGGACTCCTTCCCCGAGACCTCTCCCACCTCTCTGCTCCTTGATGACTGCCTCATGCTACTTGTTGCCAGGTAGAGCCAGCTTTAGCTGTACGGTCCACCTCCCAGCAAGGGGGAACTGCTCCGGTCAGGAACCCCTTCCTTGATCTGTTTCGAGCCTCACGGAGAGAGGACTGGGCTAGGTGTGTAGAGACAGAGGGTCAAGACACAGTTCTGTTGCCCAAGGAGACCTTGGGCGAGTCACATCACCTCTCTGCCTCAATTTACTCATCTCTAAACTGGGAACAATAATGCCTACCTCAAGAACTGCTATGAAAAGCAATGTGATAACATAGATGTACCCAGTACATAGCTGTGACTTAAAAAATCGTAGTTGAGCCTTCCTCCAAAAATCTGTAGCTCCCATTTACTGCGGGCTTCCTGAATGCCAGAGGCTTTGCTGGTTGGAGTCCTCATGGAATTGTGTTCTAGCAGTACTGGCAGGTTAACAATGACAAGAATAGCCAACAGTTACTGCCAGGCACCATCCCAAGGGCTTTCCCTATATGAACTCATTCAGTCCTCACAACCTACGAAGTAGATACTGTTACTGTGCCCAACTTAGAGATGAGTCTAAGGCAAAGAGAGGTTAAGTGATTTGTCCAAGGTCACACAGCTGGTAGTTAGAAGTGCAGGGATTCAAACCCAGGACCCAGAACAGCATCAGCCCATAGCAGCATCAGCCTTCCGACTGAGACAAGAACACACACACAGACACACACACACACAGGCTTTATAAAGTGTAAAGTGCGAGCTTCCCCTTGCCCAACAAATGTTGCCGTGGAGGAGGAAACTCAAAAGCTGGGTGTTCCCCCACCTGCTGCTCCTCTGGACAGAGGGTCCTACCTGGGGATGCCATGGGTTCTGTCATCCCAGGGTCCGTGCTGCTGCCAGGCTGGGTGGAGTCAGGGCTGGGGCCAAGGGTGGAGGTTAGCGGGAGGGGCTCCTTGGCAGGACTGTCGGGCTCCTGCACCTCCTCTGGGCACAGGTAGACTTCAATGGGCCCCTGGGTGCTCTTCAGGTATATCTGCAGGTTCTCCTAGAGGAAGAAGAGAAGCCAGGTCATGACTCTGGGCGGCTGGGCATTGACTCATGGGTTCAGCCGAATGGATGGACACCCAGGCCTCCCACTACCCATGTGAGCAAGCCACACTCCTGACCTGGGTCCCCACGCTTGCCCCATCTGACCCGAGGGGGACATCTGCTCCTTCTGCCTGTCTGGCCCCCAGGCTCCCTTCTGTGAGGGAGAACATCTCGATTTTCCCTTGGGAAACCACTCCTCTGCCACTCTCAAGTCATGTAGTTTGGGGGAACAACACCTTTCCCAGCTCCAGTGGGTGAGCTTGGGGAGCAGGCCGGGAAGGTCACAGTGACGGTGACTAGTTCAGGGAAGCACACGACTCAGCTCAGGTCCCGAGCATCAGACCCAGGACTCATGCTGGACTTGGAAATGGAAGCTCCCTTCCCCCTGGGGTTGCGGGGCTGGGATCATGAAAGCTACCTTTGCCACCGGAAGAGGGAAGCCCACCTAGGAATGGAAACAGCACAGAGAATGGCAGAGAAAGATGGAGAGCACAGGGTGAAGCATTTAGCCTTGCCTGCAGTTTCCAAATCTTCCCTCTGGACCTCTCGCTTGGTTCCCTGCAGTCCCCTCCACCCCCCACTCCTGACTTAAGCCATTTGGACTTGGCTTTCTGTTGCTTATAACCAGGAGTCCTCATACTTGGCCTTCCCTCCCCTGCTTCTTCCCTCCCACCACACCTGCCATTCCAACATGCACCCAGGTCTCCTCCCCAGTGCACCTGCAGGGCCCTCTCTCTACTCCTGTTCCCCCTGACAAAAGTCCTGGTCTTTCTTTAGGACCCAATACCTGTAACCATCTATGGGCTCTTCCTTTATCTGTCCTTTCTCTGGGCCCTCGAAGCACCTTCAATCTATAAATGGCAACATGACTGCTTCCTTGGGTCTTTTTCCCATTAGGTCCTGAGCTCCTTCAAGGCAGGGGTGAGGTCCTATTTATCTTAACATCCTTCCATTAAACGAATTACTTCTCAAGCACGTAGGACATGTCCAGCTCTGGGCCAGGGGTATCACAGGCGTGCAGCATGTCTTTGTAGAGCTAACCCTCTAATAGGCGAAGCACAGTATCATCACATAGTCACCCGTATCTTCCAGCAAACAGAGGGTAAGTGCAATAGAAAAGCACAGGTACTTATGAAATCTGGGAGGGGTGGGTTGGTGGTAATCTGGGAAGGCTTCCTTGAGGAAGTGAGGTTTGAGTTGAGACCTGTAGGACGAATAGCAGTAAACCAGGCAGTCCAAGGGAGGAGCATTTCAGCTGGAGGGAGCAGCAGCAGAATGTGTTATAATGGGGACGAGCTTAGTGTGGTGGCAACACAGCAGAGAAGTCATAGGGGCTAAAGCAAGGCACAATGGGACATAATGAGAGAAGACACTGGTGAGATCAGAGCCGGGAGGGCCTCCTAGGGAAGCAGTAAGAATTTGGGTCTTTAACCTAGCCGAGAAGGGATCATGGTGAGCCACCAGTACCATGGCGTGTAGGCCCAGGAGTGCAGGGGCTGGTGGGTGCAGAAAGGTGCCAAGAGCGGAGATTTTTTTAGATCAGTAGCTGACGTCTGTTGTCCTTTCCAGCTCCTGCCATCGCTGCCCCAGCTCAGAGACCACCAATCTTGCTACGGGCACCAGAATGGTTCCGAGAAGCTTGGGGCTAGGCAGGGCCAGGCACAGAGTCTACAGCACAGCCTGGGACCCTCCTTAACCTTCTTTCCACCAAATGCTCCTCCTCTCACCTCGCTCCTGTCGGGCACCTCGAGTCTTGTCTGCGGAGGGGCCTTGACAGCGATCACCGTCTGCTCCTTAAAGTTGCCAACAGCACGGATGTCCTGGTAAGTCACGTAGGCCAGTGTAGGGGCATGAGAGTCAAGAGAAGTAACCGGTCAAAATTCAAACCTCTAGCCTGCCAGACAAAGCCTCTGAACATGTCTTTCTCACTCCTTCCACAGCTTACAAATAACCAAAAACGACTACCCATCCTTTTAGCATCGTAAGCTACCGTGGATCCCTTTAGAAAACAAATGGGAGTACAAATCACTTTTTTAATTAATTTTTTAAAATGTTGCCTCTTGTCCATTTTCTAGACTATCTTGGGAGCCTGGGTGGCTCAGTCAGTTGAGCATCTGACTGCAGCTCGCGTCATGATCTTGAGGTCCTGGGATCGAGCCCCATACCAGGCTCCCCGCTCAGCAGGGAGTCTGCTTATCCCTTTTCCCTTCTTGTGCTCTCTCTTTCTCTCTCAGATAAGTAAATTAAAAAAAAAAAAAGACTTCATCTCTCAGACTAGATCCTTATCTTTGAGCAGGTAGTAAGACCTGTCTTACTTTTGTACATTTCTCCAATGCCTAGCATCCTTCTGAAAATACAAGGTGAGATCCTAAAACCAATGAGATGGTGGAGCCATTTGGGAAAAATGGATGAAAAACCTAAGCAGGGGCGCCTGGGTGGCTCAGTGGGTTAAGCCTCTGCCTTCGGCTCAGGTCATGATCTCTGTGTCCTGGGATGGAGTCCTGCATCGGCCTCTCTGCTCAGCAGGGAGCCTGCTTCTTCCTATCTCTCTCTCTGCCTGCCTCTCTGCCTACTTGTGATCTCTGTCTGTCAAATAAATAAATAAAATCTTAAAAAAAAAAAGGAAAAGAAAAACCTAAGCAAAGTCCATCTTTATAATTTTAATCCTAGGAATCTAATGAAATAAGTAAAAAATAAAGGAAAATATTCTCTATACAAAGATATTCATCACAATCCTGTTTTATAAAAGCAGAAATCTCGGGGCGCCTGGGTGGCTCAGTGGGTTAAAGCCTCTGCCTTCGGCTCAGGTCATGATCCCATGACCAGGGTCCTGGGATCGAGCCCCATATCGGGCTCTCTGCTTAGCAGGGAGCCTGCTTCCTCCTCTCTCTCCGCCTGCTTCTCTGCCTACTTGTGATCTCTGTCTGTCAGGTGGATAAATAAAATCTTTAAAAAAAATAAAAGCAGAAATCTCAAATCGATCTAAATGTTGATTCTAGGGGCGCCTAGATGGTTCAGTTGGTTAAGCAGCTGCCTTCGGTTTGGAACAAGCCCCATGTGAGGCTCTCTGCTCAGTGGGGAACCTGCTTCTCCCTCTCCCTCTGCCTGCTGCTTCACCTGCTTGTGCTCGCTCTCTCTCTCTCTCAAATAAAGAAATTAAAAAAAAAAATAAACAAAAATCTAAAAGTTGATTCTAGGCCTTCTCAACAAACCAGAACATAGTCTGAGCAAGACAGTCTCAAATCATTCTAAATACTAGGTTAAATCACATGAGGTTGGTACTTTTGTAAAAAATGGTCCAATAGCAACAATTCCATGTGGATCAAGCAAATAGGAAGGATTTGTAGCAACATTAAAAACTGTCTATGAGGGGTGCTTGGGTGGCTCAGTGGGTTAAGCCTCTGACTTTGACTCAGGTCACAATCTCAGGGTGCTGGGATAGAGCCCCGCATCGGGCTCTCTGCTCAGCGGGGAGTCTGCTTCCCTCTCTCTGCCTGCCTCTCTGCCTACTTGTGATCTCTGTCTGTCAAATAAATAAATAAAATCTCTAAAAACAAAAGGGGGGGGGAGAAAAGAAAAGAAACAGACATGACAGACCCTGAGGGAGATTCTGCACGAACTCAGGATGGATCGAGCATGCAGCAGGGCCCCGCTCCCTGACTGCTACCCGCCCTCCCAGCCAGACAGGATATCTCTTGTTGGCCTTGTCCTCCGTCAGGTGCTTGAAGCTCAGAGAGCAGCTCTGGATGAGCTGGTCCAAGGCCTGCTCCGCGCTCATCAGCTCCTTCAGCTCCTGCCCCAGCTGCTGCTGCTTCCCCGGCCGGGTGGGGTCTTCAAATATTCCCCTGCCTCTGGGAAGAGAGCCGTTCCCCAGTGTCAGTCTCAGTCCACATCCAGGGCCCCCAACCCTAGGGCTGCCGCGTGGACCCGCCCAGACTGTGCAAAACCCCAGAACGGGGCCATCAGTGTGGTCTACAGTGGGGCTCCCTGGGCTGTGCAAATCAGTGGTCCTGCCTAGCCGGCAGGGAGCCACTGGGAATGGAACCTGAAGTTCGGGGGCTGGGCTAGGGAAAAGAGACAAGTCAAGCCTGACCCTGCTTTTGAAGAGCTCTTGACACGGTCCATCTTACACCCCAGCTTCCCCCAAATGCCTTCCCTGGGTTCCCTGCAGGTCTGCTCTGGTCTTCGTAGGAGGAAAGGAGCCCCGAGGACTCAGATCTGAGCTGGAAAAAGGGTCAGTTGCAACAGCCCAGGTCCAGGGGACTTTTTTAAGCTAGAAGAGGGGAATCTTGGGGTCCCCAACTCAAGGAAATCTGGGTCCTCTAAGTCTTTACATGTTCTAGAAATCACTCTTCAATACCTTGGCTCAGCTCCCAGCATGTAAGCCTATGGGATGTTGCTCTCGGCGCCAGCAGCCCCCGCACCTGCTGGATACCGTGCCCCTCCCCCACCTTCACCCATGGCACGTGCACCCACGGGCACCATCAGCCCCAGCCCAGGCACTCACACCCACTGGATGTTGTTCTTGGCCTTCTTACGGATGAGCTGGATGCCCTCCAGCACGTTGGTGATGTCATAGATGCGCCGTTTCTGCACGTCCAGCACCTCGGCAGCCCAGTTCAGGTCTAGGACCCCATCCTTGGATTCGCTCAGGAGGTAAATGAACTTCTTGGTGAGCAGCCCCAGCGACGTGTCATAACGAGTCTTCTCTCCAGGGGACTTGGGGGCTGAGGGGGCAAAGGGGCCCAGTCACCGCTCAGGGAGAGCCACCTGGGCAGCCTCGTCCACAGATGGGGACCTAACAGGTACCGCCCTTCCCATGAACACAGGAACAACCACTCTCCAGTTTACAGAGCACCGCAAGGCTCTGTAAACCTCGTGGTTGTTCACCACTCCTGTCCAGGCAGGGAACCTGAGACCTGGAGAGGGAATGTGACTTGCTCAAGGTCTCACAGTCAGGGGCAGGGACAGGACTAGAGACCAAGCCTCTTCTAACTCCTGGTTCAGAGCACCTTCCCACCATAGCTTAAGGGAGCCGTATCAACACCCCCACCACCAACGACGACAAGCACTATGTGTAGGATCACGGTTCTAAGCACTTTCCATATACAACAAGTTCAATCCTTGCGACCCCCTAAGAGGCTGCTGTACAACCATCCCCATTTCATGGATGAGACTACTGAGGAACAGACAGGGAAAGTGACTCGCTCAGCTCACTCAGCTAGAAAGTGCCAAAGCTGGGATTTAAATCCAGGCAGCCTGGCTGCAGAGTCTGTCTTCTTAACCATTCCCCTCTCCTGCCAGCTTTGCCAGCAATCTGGAATTAGGGTAATGAGAGAAAGAGAATGATGGGCTGGGACTCGGGCACATTTTTCGACTTGCTTTTTCTTTCCACGTATAGCCTAATGATTATCTGAAAGGAATCAGTCCTATAATACCAAGTGGGGCAGGTTCGTGAAAAAAAAGAGACTTTCTTAATGGGGTTGATGTCACAAGACCACATCCCAGCGACAGTATCTTAAACCACAAGAGGACTTTGGCAATCAAGTGACTTGCAAAGTCCTTCAGCAAGCTAGCCGCGGAAGAGTTCTGGAAACTGAGCTTTGGAGAGCGTCAGATTCCTCCGGAAGGGGACTTTTGAACCCCGTCACATACGGATGGCAGGCATTCGGCACACAGGAGGTTTTGGTCATGTTTGGGGTCCCTGGCAGACACCTACTGAATGATCAGTGCTTCTAGTGTCTCTCTATAAAATGTTGCAGGCAGCCTCTACCCACACAGGAGGGCCAGCTTTCCTGCCCTCCCTGACCCAGCTGGGCTTTGTTTTACAGAAGAGACAGCTAAGGCTCACGGCAGGGGGGACCAGAGTCCTGCCCAGATCCCCGACCCTCATGCTTCCCACCCAGTGACATACCTTCTTCATGAGGTCTCCGACCCCCCAAATCAATGTTCCTCCCTAACCTAAGTTTCTAAAACTCCGGCTGGAACCAGGATGTTGACTGAACATATCAAGAGGCAGAAGTAGAAATTTCCTGCAGCTTAGCTTTCGAAAGACACCCCCCCACCTCAGGCAGCCCCAGGATCTTCACGGTTTAGACTAATCCAGGCTTCCCTTGGAATCACTCACTCAGCTCTCTGCCTGTGGGATAAAGACCCCGACTAGCCCTGCTCCTCTTGGAGCTGGAGTCTTTTAGAAAAGGTCAGACTGAACTAAATACAAACTTTTTTTTTTTAAAATGAGTAAGCTCCCAAGTGAAACACCCGTCACCACATTGAGGTCACGAGAGTGGTGCGTGGTGTGGGAGAGGCTGTGCCCGCTTGGGTTTGGGCCCTGACACCCCTCCCCGCCACCGCCAGTGTGACTTTGGGCAAATCACTCAGGCTCTGAGTCTCTGACAACCTCATCAGGGAAAGGGGGACAGTGCTGACGACTGGCAGGGTCCCATGAGAGATGGCAGAGGAAGCTGCTTTGTAAACTGGGAAGTGTGCCACAAATACCACTCCTGCTGATGTGGGTAGGGCTGCTGCCCTCTGCCCCTGCCTGCCCTCCCCTCCCACCCCCCTCCTGAGCCTGCCCTTAGATGCCCCATCTGTGCGGCTTACTTCTGGGGCTGGGGAGACCGTCCACTCTAAGGCACTTCCCCTTCGGAGTCCGGAACTCAGGGACCGCTGGTCTCCCGATCCCCTCCAGGTCCAGCTTCCTTTTGGCCTTGAAGAGAGGAGAGAGAGGCAGAGTTTGAGTATCATTCCTCTTTCAGTCTTTCCCCGAGTTGGGGCCAAAGCATGGAGGCCACCGGCAGCTGCTTTCTGTGCCTCAGTTTACCGCCAGTCCCGGGGAAACATCTCCGCACTTGGTGAGGAAACAGCAGTGACTCTTGAAGAGCTTTTGGGGGGAAAAGGAGTCCTGAGCCTCAGCCTGAGGTGCAGGTACTCGAAGACTTCCGAAGCCAGTCTGGCCAAGGGCTCAGGGTTCCGTCATAACGGGCCCCAAGGTCACTTCTACATCTGCCATCCCCAACCCCCGCGCCCAGAGGCTGAAGCAGGGAGGAAGAGGTGGGTAGGACCTAAACCACATCGGGCTGGGGAGTGCCTCCCACCCCGCCAAGTGCACGAGCAGCTGGCCCAGCCTGCCCTGGTGCCCATCACAGCCCCACAGCTGGCCCTTATCAGGGTGGGGCTGGGCATCCGCCCAGGCCCAGGGGACTTCCTGGCTCTGTGCCACACCCCAGGGAGGTGCCCACATGGGGAAGCCGAGCAAACATTCCCCACCCCCATGTTTGGGCTCCAGCTCAAGGGCCCCGGGGGCCTCCTGAATAGACTCCATTTGCCAATCTTTCTTTGCTGAGAGGGGCAGACAATGAATCCCTCTGCTGCATCTCAAGGACAAACAGCTGAGGTCCCCCTGCTCCCCCTGCCTGTTCCCGCCAAGCTTGGGAAACACCTGCTGGGGAAATGGAACCACAGACATCTGCTCCTCACCCCGCTGCCACCAGGCCCCAGTTAGGCCCAGAAGCTGCACTGGCCCGGAAGGGGCCTCTCTCCTGTTAGGGCTGGGCAGGGGCAGGGCTAGGGTACTGGGGCACCGGGGCATAGGTCAGAGGCCTGGACCTGACTCTCCCAGCTCCTTTGTGGGCTCACTGCATGTGTGTGTGTGTGTGTGTGTGTGTGAGAGAGAGAGAGAGAGACTTGGGGAAGTACGCAACAGCTAGGAGCCTCACTTTCCTCCTCTGTAAAATGAGGCAGAAAACACCTGCTTTGAGGGACCACTGTGAGAAACCAAGGAGATAACCCCTGCCAAGTGCTCACCCTATGGCTCAGCACACAGTAGGTGTTCAGAAAATGCAGACTCCCTTCCTGAAATCCAGGCTTGGCCTCTTCTTTGACACACCCTTCAGGGGGCCCCTGAGCCCATTTCCTTCCTCCCTCTCTCCCCTAATCACCCAGACACCCTGAAGCTGGCTGGGACAGAGAGGCCTATTTTAACCTTTAACAGTGAGGTCATGCTTGGCGGGTCTGACACTTCTAACTGCTGCTGAGCACAGCTGGGCTGACAGGTGTGGGGAGTGGTGACAGCGCTTCCGGCTATCAGCTCCCCTCCCTGCTCCTGCCTCCTCCAGGCAGTCCTCCCGGACTGATTCCAGGAGACCTGCTCCTTGGTTTGAGGAGCCTGGATATGATGCTCCTCTCGTCCACCCCTATCCAGACCTGGACATGATCCAAACACGTCCCTGCTCATTCCTCTTGAAGACCCTCTCGCATATTCTTTTTCTAACCTCTTAACTGGTGAGATCCTAGATTCTAGGGAATGTGACTTATCTTGTCTCTAGAGAAAGGCCCAGCCATTCACTGAGAACTTCCACATGCCCTGGGCCGAGCCCCAACATTCTTCACCTCACCGAGTCTCCCCAGCACCACCAAGCCCAATTTAACAGCTGAAGTAACTGGGACCTGGTGAACTCCAATGTCTTTGTCAATCCTGATCGAGGTTGTCCATCCAGGGACCCTTCCCCCATCCCTCAAGAAGGAATGCCAAGAGCAGGGAGAGGAAGAGAAGTCAAGCTGAGTTTTACCCGGGACAGAAGTGGGGCAGCCCAGTCTCCCCCACCCAACAGGAGCCAGGCCCTGCTGAGTTCACGGAACATGAGCAAGAGCCTCACTACCTGCAGAGCAGGGAGAAGGAAGGACCTTGAACGGAGTATCTGCACTGGGCCTATCACGTGCCCATCAGTCCTGCACCATCAGTCCTGGCAATCTCTCTTGGCAGAAGAGAAACGGAGACTCAGAGGCAGTAAGGCATGAACCCAAGGTCACACAGACAAAGGGCAGAGCCAGAGTTTGAACCCAGGATTGTCTGACTCCAAAGCCACATGCCAGGTCGTCTCAGCTCTTTTGCACACATTCCCCCAGATTTTGCTAGAACTTGAGCCAAGGCCTGGTTGTGCCCACCAGCCCCCATCACTTTATATACACATAGCAGTTCCCTCCCTTCCCTTACAGTCCTTCCCCTTACCCTGTACTTCAAGCATCCCAAAGCAGCAAAATGTGCCTCACCTAAGGACATCTCCCTGACACCTTGGGGCACGGCCCATGGATGTGCCTGAGCCTACAGAACAGAGGTGGCAGAGGACAAGCCCAGGAAGATGAGGGCTAAGAAGAGCCAGAGCAAAGGGCTTGGAGTCAGATCCCTCTGGGTTCCCCTCCAGGCTTCCCCCCTTCTTAGCCAGGTGAGCTCAGCAAGTCAGTTGACCTCTGGAGCCCCACCTGTAAAATGGGCATACTCTGCTCCACCCTGGCCCGGTGACAGTGACAGTGCAGCAAAGCGCCTGGCTCACACACGGAAGCCGCCATCACTAAAGGTCCAGGGCCGCCAGCAAGGGGGAAGTGCAGAGGGAAGCTGAAGAGAAGGGAATGTGCCAAGAACAAAGGCACATTTGCTCTAATCTGGACCCTCTTAGGAGGCAGCCCCTTTGGCTTTTTCTTAAAGGCCTGGTTAGGATTCAAGCTCCCCACCAACCCCTCGGAAAAAGAGGCAGGCCCAGAAATGAGGGGGCCAGAGATACCCAGATGCAAGCCCACTCTGGGCAGCAAGGTGACGAAGGTGGGGCTCAAAGGAAGGGAAGTGACTTGCCCAAGGTCACTCAGGGAATGAAGCCAGGCTTTTTCCAAGCCCCAAGTCCTAATTTAGGCAGTGGGGGTAGGAGCAAGTGTTCCAGATCCCAGCCCTACCACTCAGCAGCCTGCATTTCCACATCTGACCCGCCTCAGAGGATTGTTCCTTAACATGCTCTTTTGCTTTCAAGCTTCTCAGGGGGACTTTGGAAAAGCCAGACAAAAAGAAGAAGAACCGTGCAGAATCCCACCCTCTTCACAGATTCCCATAGGAATAAGACAGAATCACGTAGTGTGCCTGGCTGGACTAGGGACTCCGTAGAGGAACATCCCAAGCCTTCCCCAGAGGGTGCTGGAAAGAGCCCCAGACAGCGAGTGAGGAGACCAGGGTTCAGGCTTCTATTCTGCCACTGAACTTGGTTGCCATCCCCGAGGTCCCTTTAAACAGCAGCTCCCCAATAGATCCTACTCACCCTGCCCTTTGCAGCCTGGCCACAACCCAAGCAGCCACACCCAGGGTTGGGTTTGGAGCTGCTCCAGGTCCCGCCCTGGTAAAATGAGTAAGCGGGGGGGCCAGGCCTGCCCATGGGGCTGGGGGTCAGAGGGCATCTGATGGGAGAGGGGGCTCTGGGCCTGACAGGCTTTTAGGGCAGTCTAATGCAAGGAGACTCTCCCACTGCTTGGCTTGTGACTTGGACAAGTGACTTCACGTCTCTACTCAGTTTCCTCATCTGTAAGATGCCTCATCCCAAGCATCTTGGCCAAGATAACGAGTGTGAGGAGTGCCAAGCAGTGACTGGCACACGAGAGGCGTTCAGTAAAAGAGAACCATTCTTGCTGTGATCACTGAGCCCCTCTGGGAGGGAGCTACAGACAGATGCACTCGGGCTCCTCTGGGAGGGAAGCAGTTCAAAACCACAGCTGTTACTGAAACGCAGCCACTGAAACCCCGCCTGGGCGCCTGAAAGCAGCTGGCCAGAGAAGACTGCACCCTCCACTGAGCCCCTTCCCCCGCCCGGGGCACCCAGCTCCTCGGTCAGACAGTACTGCAGAAAGTCAAGGCTGCAGAGAAGAGACCAATGATCACCAGCCTTGGTCATGCACCTCCCTGCATGACCTTGGACAGATCATATCCTCACTCTGTGCCTCAGCTTCTCCCTGGAGCTGCTAAGGCCTCCTCCTTCCCAGGGTACAAAACTGTCTTAGGTTGTAAAATGCTGAACATAAAGATAGATACCCAGTCTCAATTATCTTTGGCTGTTTGACCTGTGAAACAGGATAGCACCCCTGGCTCCCTCGTGCAGGAAGGGGCTCTGGAAAGTTTAAAGCCTTGAGCATGGGCAAAGCATGATTCCCCTAGCAGGGACTTGTGCCTGCTGCATCCGGGGAAGGCTGGGGGTCTGTGCCTGTCTACCAACAAAGGTCTGACCTGATGCCTCTACGGCAGGGAGGGCTGGTCTTTTCTCTCTGTACCTGAACTTATCCACACCACTCACAACGAAGCAAACTACAGCACCCCCATCTCCCCTTCCTGGAGCCGCTTTCTAAAACCCAGGACCAGGAGCTGGAAATGACCTGAGATGAGTTAGCCCAACTATGCCATGGACAGACGCATTTTCAAGAAAAGGAAATGTAAGCCCAGACTGGGGTCAAGACTTGTCCAGGGCCACACTGAATTAGTGGCAGTCAGGACCAGAAACCAAGCTCCCCATCCACCACCCAGTTCCCCAGGGCTTTTCCCACCCCACCCACCTCTACCCTATGGTTGTTTCCATTCTCAAGGGCTCCAGGAATTCCACTCCCACAAAACACACCCTGTACCTGGTGCCACCACATTTAAGGCCCTCCCTGGCAATCGCCTGGGGGCTTGAGGAAGGAAAAGTCCATCTGAATAGGAAACCCAGGGGGCTGCCCCCAGTCTGCACCTGCTACTGGCTATCTGGGAGCGAAGACTGGGTCTGGGAGAGCCATAGGGCAGATAATTGGGAAAGAATCGGCTGTACAGGAAATTTAGAGTCTGTCCAAGCTAGACTGGACCTGAGAGACACCCCATCCCTGCCCCCCATCTTAAAGTCCCCCATTCTATGCCTAGACCAAGCCCTATACCTGTGCCATAGCAGATGCCCAGTACCAGTTTCTGGACCAAACAATGAATGAAAGAATGAAGGAATCGTGGCAATGTCAGCTCCGTGGACTTCCTCAAGGCCACACGGTGCACTGGGGGTAGTGGGTTGAGTCTCCGCACTCCCAGTCCAGTGCTCATTCCACTCCAGTGCATGGTTATTTCATCCCAAGTCCGAAAATGAAGGGCTCCTTCAACTCAGATATGAGGGCAATGGGTTGTTCTGGAAGCTGAAAGCCCTCTTTTCCCTCCCCAACTCGACCTGCTTCGTTCAAACTGGGTCCCAGGCGTCCCTCCCTCCTTTCCCACACCCGCAAAAGCAGAGGGAGAAGCGGTGGGCGGCGGTGGGGAGGTCCCCAGCATTACCGGCAGCCGGCCAGCCGGCACGCATCGCACAGCTTGGCCCTCGGGTCCGTGGGGGGTGGCGTCGAGGCAGGTGCCGGGCGCCGCAGTGGGAGGCACAGTCTGCGGGTACAGCGAGGTGTAGTAGGTGGTGGTGGCCGGGCAGAGCTGGGGGCTGCTGAGGCCGGGCGGCCACAGCTCGGTAGGGCTCATCGCGTGCAGTCCCTTCGAGGGCGGCCCGGCGGCTGGAGCCAGGGCCCGGGGCCCTCGCAGCATGGCGAGCGCAACGCCCCCTCCCCAACCGGGCCAGGCGCGCCCGCAGGCACCTGCGGGCTCCGTAGCCCGCGGAGGCTCACACCGCCCGAGGCATGGCGCGGAGGCCGGGGAAAGCCGCCAATGGACGCCTGCGGGGCAAGGCCGGACCCTCCCCTCCTGGCCAGCGGCCGAGCTGAGCAGCGCTTGGAGATCCCCGCTTGGAGATCGCCCCGCGGCGGCGGCGGCGGCGGCACGGCCAGTGGCTGTCCCACCCCGAGGGCGATGGCGACCCGGGACGGCCCCGCGCCCCCAAAGGCCTCGGCGCTTGGGGTCTGGCTGGCTCCTGGTAGGGGTCTCTGGGGTCGCCGGGGGCTCGGAGGAGAGGTGATGCGCTCAGACGGGGAAGAGGGGCCGATTGCACCGACTCCCTCTCGCCTGGCTCTCTGGTCCCCAAGTCTTTCTCTGCCTCTTTTTTTTCCTCCTTCTTCTCTCTCTTTTTTTTTTTTTTTTTTTTTTTTAGCGCCAAACTGCGTGCCGCGAAATTCGGATCTCCCGCGGAAAATGCCGCGCTTTGGTTGGCCGCCGCTACTGGCACAGGCTCCACCCCCCGGAAAGGACCGGTTCCCAAGGCTGCGATTGCAACACGAGCTTCGCTGCTTAAAGGGGCCGCCACACCTCCTGTTGCCGGGCGCCCGCCGTTCCTAGCCGCGGGAGAAACAGCCTGGGGTCATGGTTCGGTACCGTGCAGAAGCAGCCAGAGCTTGCTGAGGAAAGGGCCTGGATTCCCTGTGGCGGGGAGAGGGGAGTGCGGGAAGGAGGGAATTTGGGCACGAAGTCCTGTCCTGAGCCCGGACCCAGCAGCACATTACCCAGGCCAAAGGCTTTTGGTTATTTTGCATATACGCTTATAAAGCCTTTTTCTGCCCCGCTAAAATGAAAGCCAGGAACCTGTTTTCTTTCCTGGCAGGGGGGCGATGGGTGGAGCCTAATATTTATACCTCATGATAGGAGGATACTAACATCTGCTGAGGGCCTCCAGTAGGCCAAGCACCCTGCTAGTTGTTTTATTTCATTGAATCCAACAATCCCAGGAGGAGGCACGATGGTCTTCGTGGTAAAGACTGGAGAGACGGAAAGGCTAGGTAACTTGTCTAGGATCACAGAGAGATTCACTGACTTGAGAACTGGCGGTCCAATCTGAACAGGCCAGCTTCTGAACCCTTGTTTGTTCCAATAAAAGCTTTCTCCCCCACCCTCCCAAGCTGTGCCTGCCCCTTGCAGGCCTGGATGGGGACTGGGGGTCCAGAGTGCAGAGCTATGTCTTGTTCTCAGTGACATTCCCAGAGCCCCACATTCAGTAAATATTTGAACATCTCCATGTTTCTCCTAAACAATCCTTTTGTCACACTCAAGAGCCTCCCTCCCTCATTCAAAACCTTCATTGCCAATAATCCATTTACATTCCCAGTCTCTCCAGCTTAGAGATGCCTAGGTTCCAAGAAGTGACCTTAGCTGCAAGAAGCTAAATTCCAAGTCTGCCAGTTCCTGCCTGGTGCTGCGTGATTTCTATGTGGGTCTGAGGCTGGCGTTCAAAACCCTCCAGAGTTGGTCCCCAGCTTCATACCTGGTTCTTATACTCAGATCTCGAGGATGACGTAACACTAATGCACAATGATCAAGAGCCCAGACTTTGTAGCAGACAGCACTGGGTTTAAATCCAGTCCCAGTCACTTTACCAACTGTGTGACCCCAGGCAAGTTTTATAAACTCTCTGAGCCTCACTTTTCTCACCCTATTAACACCCACCTCATAGGATGGTGGCGAAACCTCATGAGATCAGGTACAGCTGTCAGCACACAGCCTGGTTCCTGAAGAACCTCAAGAAATAGCTGTGGTCACATTTCCGGCCTTATCTCCAGTATACAGACCCCCTTCATTCCAGTCTACATTTTTCACGGTTCTTCAAGGTCCAGCTTAAACATCACCTCCTCCAGGAAGCCTTCCCTGCTTGCCTCCCCTCCCCCAGTTAGAGAGCTTCATGCCCTCTTCCCATGCTAAGTGTATTCTGACTCAACAAATAAAGCTCTATTTAGTGGCAAGGAGGCTGCGATTCAAGTCCCACTTCACACTTCCTAGCTGAGCAACCCTGGGCAGGCCGCTATGCCACCTCTCAACCATCAACTACTGACAAGGCTTCTACTCAGTTGCTTTCATAGGTCTCCGAGACACTATTGAAATGGGGGTGGTAATGACCCTCACAACACCCTTCTGGGACAGGCACTGTTATTATCCCCATTTTACAGATGAGGGATCCTGGAAGGAATTGTGGCCGAGCAGGTTTGGGGAAGGAGCAGAGCCCCAGGGCCAGGAAGGGAAATGGGGGTGGCAGGGTGGGGCTGAGAGAACGCAGGGAGCCAGCAAGGGGGCCAAGAGCCAGCTCTCTGTGGTTGAGTTTCGGGCCGCCGGGGCTAGCTTTGGTTTCACTCCCTGGGAACGGACTAATTCCTGTGGGGCATATCTGTAGTCTGTCTCCCTGAACTTGAATTCCTGCCCCATCCGTTCCTAGCTTGTGCTCCTGGTCAGGTTGCCAGACTTCTCTGAGCCTCACTTTCTTCACCTTTGAAATGGGATGACATGGGCGCCTGGGTGGCTCAGTTGGTAAAGAGTCTGCCTTCGGCTCAGGTCATGATCCCGGGGTCCTTGGATGGAGTCCCACATTGGGCTCCCGGCTCCCTGCTCAGGGGGGGAGTCTGCTTCTCCCTCTGCCTGCTGCTCCCCCTGTTTGTGTGCTCACCCTCTCTCTCTTTCTAAATGAATAAATAAAATATATATTTTTTAAAAACATGGAGTCTGTTTAGGGCTCCCCCTCTCCCTCTGCCCCTCTGACCCCTATATGCATTCTCTCTCTAAAATAAATCAATCAATCAAAAAGAAAAGTCCCCAAACCAAAGCAAGCTCCATTCCAAGTGATGTACCTCATCCCTGGTGTATCTTCTGAAAAAAAGCCTCAGATTCCCTCTGTTCAAAGTCCTACTTATCAAAATACAAAACGCTTGATAGAAACTTCCTGAAGGTACAGACCTCCTGTTTGGGGGCCCTCCAGTGGGTTACCTGTTCACATGAATCTAAAATTGAGAGAGAGAAGCCAAAAGGGAGCTGCTGTAGGAAGGAAAGGGGGGGGG